TCTTAATTGTTTTGTACACATTTTAGCAATCAAATACTTAGAATACAGACTCAAGACAAAACTTAAATCGACCATTACCTGATGATTGTGTTTGGACCACAGATCATTTGACAATCTAGAAAGCAGATTGACATTTTCTCCTCGAACAGAAATGTCAGGAGCCTGCACACAGCACTCGAGTCACACCTTTCTTAAAGCTGTGTGTTCAAGATAATGTAGTGTACACAGAAAAAAATAGATGTTCTGCTCTGAAAGTACAGACCTGCACACACACACAAATGGCTGTGATGTCAGAGGACTGAGTCATATGAATCATTTCATGCAGTAATGCACCACTGATTTCATAACGCTACTGAGAGTGTGTAGCCTACATCTGAACGTGCTTCTGCATGCAGAGGATACATAAGTAATGGAGGAGAGTCGACTTCACATCCAGTGTATGGTCATTACAATGATGGGCCGTCTCCAAAGACTTTTCTGGGAAAAAAAGATTCACACACACGCACACTCACAGAGTCAGACAATGACACAGTGTAAGGATGTGATTTCTGCAATTCCTCCACTTCTCTGGAGTAAATTATTCATTCATTCATTCATATTCATAAAGTCATGATGATATGAGGTAAGTCTGATAAAAATATTCTAAACTCTCTTAGATCTTTGTCTCCTTCCCAATCAATGTTGTGACCGATCCAAGTTGCTGAAGTTTCTCCATACGTCATATGATATCACTTGAGCCCCAGAAGCTATGGAAAAAAACTAGTTCATTCTCTGGATCAAAGACTTTCTTACCTGCTGTCCACAGAGAGACTTTGCCAGGGGAAACATGTCAGATGTGCTCACTGTGAGCACAGGCTGCCCGCAAGGATGTGTTCTCTGCCCTGTGCTATCCTCTCTGTTTACTAATGAATTTATGATCAATGAGAATCTTTTAGATTGTTTGAATATGCTGACAACATGGCCTTAATTGGTATTTTACATCAAACAGACCCATCAGGTGAAGCTGCCTACCTGGCTCACACTACAGCCGCTCAAACATGGCGTCACATCAGCAAGTTAGAAATTAATGTGGCCAAGACTAAACAGCTGATTATCTGCACAAAATAAGATCTGAAGACAGAGGTAGTTTCACCCAATGGCCAACATGTTGAAACTGTGGAAATTTTTAAACACCTTGGTACAGGTCTGGACTCCCTCATGAGCTTCTCTGGATATCCTGAGTATATTTTCAAGAGACGCTCACAGCGACATTATCTTCTTGGGAAGCTCAGTGGCTTCAGTGTTAGCCAGCAGATTTTAGAATTAGTGTACCACACTATGGTTGAGAGTGTTGTAATGTTTCACCTTCCTGTCTGGTACAGTTACATCCAAGAATAAAAACTCTCTAGACATGCGACATGCAAAATAGTTGGCGAGACACAAAAGTCCTTGACCCATCTCTTTACAGAAAGGACGAGGAAGAAAGCGAGGAGCATCTTGGCAGATAGCTCCCAGCCTCTCTTTAGCCAGTTTGAACTCCTGAGCTCCGGGAGGTGCTACAGAGTCCCTCTGGCAACTAAAATTGTATTTAAAAGTCCTTCATCCAAAGTGCCATCAGTATCCTCAACTCAGCAAAGTGACTGATGGGTTTGTTTGGTGAGCCGAAGGCAAATTTCCACCCATGATGGACAACGATATCTTACTATATAATGACGAAAACTATGGGTGTGTAAGTCTGCGTGTCTGTTCCACGTTTTTCTCCTCACTGACTTGGTCAATCCATGTGAAATTTGGCACAGTGGTAGAGGGTCATGGGAGGATGCGAATGAAGCAATATTACATCAATTGGCCAAAGGGGGGCTCTATAGCAACCGATTGAAATTGCAAACTTTGAATGGGCATATCTCATGCCCCCTATGTGGTAGAGACATGAAACTTTGCACAGAGATGCCTCTCCTCATGAGGAACATAACTTCCGGTTATATAGATTTTCCGCCATTTTGAATTTTTTGAGAAACACTTAAAATGGATCTCTTCCTAGGAAGTTTAACCAATCTGCGTGAAACTCGGTGAACATAATCTAGGGACCAATATCTAAAGTTCCCTCTTGGCAAAAGTTGGAAAACTTACTAAAACTGAGCTTCTATAAGGCAATGAATATTGCGGAGGGCGTGGCTCATCACATAAAGGTGTATCACATCTCAAGGGTTTCACCGATCACCACGCAACTTTGTAGGCATATGACCACACATAATCTGAGGGGACCCCTCCATTATTGACCCAATCAAACAAAATGGGGGCGCTAGAGAGTTAATTTCTTATCCAGGCCTAACTGCCACATAGATTTTTACTAAACTTGGTAGATATGTAGAACAGGACGCCTCAAGGTGACTGGAGAAATTTAACTCTAATTGGCGACTGGGTGGCGCTATAACAACAGAAAAATGCTTAAAAATGGCTAAAATGCGACCCATCACTGTGGCTCCCCCTGTGGCCAAATGTTTCACTTTTATTTTCGTACTATCAAATTCACAAAATCTCTGTCTGAATACATTGCTCTTCTTAATGGGTCGAGTTGACTATTTAATCTGCAATTTCCTATGACCTATATCCCAAACACACACTATGTGAAACTGTATGTGGGCAACTGTGCACTCAATGGGTATGGACTAGTATTATTATATTATATATTCTATTCAAACTAGTAAGTGAAGCTTGATTTTATAATATTTTATTGCAGCATTGAAGCAATTTGGCAGAAAACTTGGTTTCAATTCTTTCTATAATCTTGAATAGTCATTATTTAATAAGCAACAATCCGTTTTAAGGTTTTAAGGTTAAGTGAATCTGTTTCATCAGGACTGTGTGAGAGTGGAGGGATTATATTTAAATGACAAAATAAGCAAACAACCCATCTACACACTCGCGTCTACGCCTCATGTCTGCACTCTACTACGACCAATTCAGAGAGGACTCTGAAAGAAGAAACCACTCCGCCTGGTCAGTCTGCCTGCCCTCTGCCATCTTGCTTCAACCTGCCCGTCTACATCGACTCTGCCTTGAACATTCAGTCTATTGCCAGCACCTAGCTCTTCAAATAAACTCACTGAACTCTTACTCTGCCTCTCGAGTCTGCTTTAGGGTTCCAAATATTACTACAAACCTTAACAAATTCATTTTTAGCATATTTGAATTTTAGGCGGGATGTGTACGCCTCAATATATATTATAAATACAGCCTTTAATCAGCTGTAGGAATGCACAGACATACCAGGTTCAGAAATGTCTTGCTTTTCATCACACAGTTTTATTCCAAAGAAACCCAACAAACATACAGCACTCAAGAATCTCAACATTAACTGTATATAATCTGGTAAAATATACAATATTTTTTTTCTGTGTTTGCATGTGAAAGCTTTTCAGTCTGAATGGTCTTGATTGTTTTCTTCTTCCAGGGACAGCTTCCATTAGTTTCTCTGTCACTGCCTCCTCTCATTATAGTCACCTAATTCACTGCATGCCATTGATTCTTTTTCTCTACAGAGGAAAAGTAGCTGAAAAAGTATAAACATCCATCACTGACAGTCCAAATGCATTCTCACTTCTATATGTCCAGGTGCAATAAATTAATTTCATTTATTTGATTTCAATCAGCATTTATCAAATATTACAATGTCTGCTTTTATCAAAGGATTGTGTGGTGATATAATATAGAGGCCAGAATATAGAAACTGTTCACATATGCAATGATAAAGCAATACTTGAGGTGTCCTAACATACAGTTGGCAAGAAGAAAGGTTGTGTTCAAATTGTCACATGTTTTTAAAGTTCGTGCAGAGTAAGATAAGGTCTGTATCACCAAGCAGCTCTAAACTAAGGTGTGGCACACCTCAGGAATGTTGTTGCTATGGTTACCTGCCTTATCTTACTGTATGATTTTTAAAAGCACTTATGAGCCAATCGGAAACAAGTATTTTCTATGGCAAGGGTAAATAATTCTCTTCCACCTGTTCTAAACACAATACAGGACCTTTCATAATCAAAGCTTAGCATTTCAGTGGCTAATGGAAGCTGTGCCGGCTCAGGTACTCTGCTGCCAGTCTGATCAGAATTAGCCAGTGTGTATGTATATGTAATCTAATCTATGAAATAAGGCGCTGAGCAAAACATGATCACACAATAACACTAGCCACAATATATACTGCTATAAACCCTGAATTTACCAGCATCATGTACTGCAGAGAGAAACATGTATACACATGCAAAACAGCCACAAATGCACACGTACACACACGCACATGACGCACAAATGCACAAAGACACAAATAAAGGAGCAGTGTGGAAGATTTAGGGGGATTTAGTGGCATCTAGTGGTGAGGACTGCTAGTTACAACCAGCCAAACCTGCTCCCAGTTAGAATTCCTTTAGTGTTCATTGTTCAGGAGGTTTTTACCAGGAGCCAAAGTATCCACAGAGGTCTCTTTCTGTCCAAAACAAATGGAGCAGGTGATTCAAACCGGAAAAAACACTGAATAAAGCAGTTTCACGTTATAAATCAGTGTTTCTATTATACTGTTTGGCATGCTGAAGACGGGTCCTGCAAATGTGTGCTCACCTATCTTCTCAGATAACTTGTGTCTTTTTTCTGATCCAGACTTTCAGGAGGTTTTTACCGGGAGCCAAATTATCTTCCTCGAGTTGTCCTCCTCTACAAATCAAATGGACGCCATGATTTAAACCTGTAAAACACTGAATAAAGCAGTTTGTTGTGAAGGGGCTGCTAACTTCGGTGGAAGAACCAAAGATGTGAATGGCCCTGACTAGAGCCAGTGTTTCTGTTGTTCATTCTGGGCTACTGTTGAAACATGGCGGTACAACATGGCAGATAACATGGACAAGGACCCACTACCTATAGAGATATAAACATCTCATTTTAAGGCAACACATACACAACAATTTCTATTTTCAGGTGATTATACACTAAAGAAAAATGCTTCTTATATTATATTATATTTCTGCCAATATATCTCCCTATATCCTACACACTGAACCTTAAAATAACATTTATATACAAAGAGGTCAGAGGTTTTGTACTCAATGCTGGCTATATGTTTGCAGAAAACCACATTGCAGGGAACGAGTCACATTTTTGTTAATTAAGAAGCTGATAAACTGCAAGCAAACCATTTAAAAAAATACAAATAGCATACAGAAAAAGATTACAGCAGACTTTTTCCACAAAGCTGTTCACTCGTCACAATTTATCCATTTAAATAAAGTGAAGAGAACAAAGGTGAGAGGGAACTCGAAACACAAAAATACATTTTTACTGTAATACAGAAAAAAACATGATACTGAATCAGTGCATTGTGCTGTTTAATTAAAGCTGTAGTAGGTGAGCTTTTATCTGAAAATTCCTTTCATTTTTTCCACACTGAACCATAATGTGTGTTTGCAAATAGAGAGAAAACTCTGTAATGCCCGGTTTACCAAATAAACTTGAGATATACCTGCAGGAAATCTTCTCCACTGGCTTTAAATGTGTCCTCAGTGGCATTTTTGGTTCGGAAAAGGAAATACATTCTTACATTTAGTGTGACACATGAAAGAAGGAAACTGTGAGCATTCCTGCGTCTGTTGAGAAGCCTTGATGTTTGCTGAAAGTGGCTGGAAAGGCACTTATGTCACATGGCTGGATGGAGAGAAAAACAGGGCTTGTTGAAGAGCTGGGCGAGTCATATAGATACACACTGAGATATGAAAAATAGAATGAGTGTTCATGTCGTCCTGGGAATGGACTTTTACATTACAGCTGCAGAAAAGCATCCATTTTTGCTTTTTTGATCAGCTAATCCAATCCCTGTGCTTCCACATCTGTAGTCTTACATCATGCTATTCCTCCATAGCTTCTCTTTTCACTTCCTTAAACGCCTGATGTTCATCACTCTATAGCTCCTGTTCCTGCGGAGCTATGGATGCAGGGGAGGAGGGCGTAGTCAGGGCAGTGACGGTGGGAAGTTCAGCCGAGGTTACGATGGAGGTTAGCCTGGAGACTGCTGTAGTAGCGGTGGGTCCGGTTCCTGGGCAAGTGGAGAGAGGCTGACATGTAGGGGTGGAGCGGTGAAGGTCTGCCGCTGTGTGGGAGGTGGGCGAGCCTGGAGCGTGAGGAGAGATCTTCAGAAAGAGGAAGAAAAGAGTCATGGAGGAAGGAAATAAAGGAAGAAGGCAGCAAAATGATAGAGGATAAAACAAATGATGGGTGGCATGTTGATGGAGAGAGGAGGGAGGGGAAGGTGGAAAAATAAGTTAATTCACCTCCAGGTTACCTAGATGAGTATACGTTGTGTTTAAAGCACACGTTTCCAGCCTTAGAATATTTGTTACTAGGCAGCGAGGAAACAATATGATTCTGCAAAAAGGTGAATAATACAAGCCTATAATAAGCTGTTTTTTTGCAGTAATTACCATGAACTTGCTGCAGCCTTTGCTGCGTTTCCCCTCATTATTCCCTGTCAGCCTCCCAACAAAAATATAGTGATTTTAACTGTGTGTGAGGAAAATCATCTCCACAACCTGTCAGCATTCAGCAGCAGATTAAATTTGTGTGTGGAGTGTTGCTGGGAGGTCTATCTGTATTTCTTCAACACCACAAGAAAATATAGGGAAAATAAAGTTCAAGTTAGAATCCTTAAGAGTTTTATGAAATTAAACCTTTGTATTTAAGTGTGTTGTTTTTATTTAAGTATTTATTGTTAGTTGCAGTGTCCGCCCTTCCCACACTGGATTTAAAACCCTGATAAATTAAAAATACATTTTCCCAGTTTGAATCTTGTTTCCCTCTGTTGATTGTCAAAAATGTCAAAAAATCTGCATTGGAGCATTTTTACATCAAAATCCCTGGTCTCAAATGTGGATGACTCATCCTGCACTCAGGGGCATTTACAAAAGTTCATCCAATCAAATGAAACTTTGGGCAAATAGACACTGCAGTCAAATAAACACACACTACACCTGAGGGTTGTAGAAGCTAACAGAGCTATATGGAAAGAGGTAGGAGGAGATGTGTGTAAAGTTATTAGTAAGATAAGATAAGATAATCAGCAAAACATTTGCTTTTATTAAAAAAAAAAAAAAAAGCTAAGGTCTTATTCATTCACCCTCATCTTCCTCCTGATCTAACAGTGAGGAAGGTGTGTGGAGCCAACAGTCCACTCCGCTGTAGCTCAGTATTGTGCTAAACTCTAAGCCCACCCACACACGAGGGTTTTGCAGGAAACAATGCAGCATGTATTCTAGTATAATTTGATCCCATTGATAACAGTGCGTTTACCGTCCACTGAGTTTACACCTTATCAGAGATGTAGCAAGTAACTGGTATTAGGCTGTACTTGCTGTTACCACCATGATCCCATATATGACTAAATTAATGAGTGACTGTGTCGGTCACTCTGTCATTTTCTAACCTGTATCAAGAATTGTTGGCTGGGAAGTTAAACTGAATGAGATCCTGCCTGAGAATAAACATTCATGTTGGAATGTGAACCAGTAAACCCTCTGGGAGTCAATTGGTCGGCAAAGAAATTGCCAATTTATAAAAAGGGTCTCTGGTGCAAAGTGTGTGTGCGTGTGTGTCCACTCATGTGAAGATGAAAAGACATGACGTGAATATACCCTCTGATAATAACCAGCGATCCATGCATCAATAATTAAGCACTTAGACTCTCTAGGCTATGCTCTGTACTCCTATAGTCTGACTTATGGAGTACGTTTCGACTCCCTTGAGCCAGTGCCTGAAGAAGACAAAATACAGTTTGTGTGTGTGTGTGTGTGTGTGTGTGTGTGTGGGTGTGTGGTGGGGAAGTAGGTGTACCAAAAGAGTCAGCGCTAACAAACCGACAACACAAATTGTTGAATTCAGGATTGTCAGTAACTATATGTAAACATGCTTGACAACTAAAATGAAAGTAACAACCAACCACAAGTTTACTCGTGTTTGGCGTTTCCTACTTTATTTGCAGTTTTTTTTGTCAGTGTGTCTCTTGGATACTTGCTGCTTACAGTGTGGCACTTGGTCACTACCTTTTTGCAAAGCCCAGACCTCACCTGAGCACTGTGGGGATTACTTCTGTATATGTTGTACTTTTAGGTAAATCCTGCTAGGACTGGCACGAATATTTGCTGCTTCCAGCCTGCATTTGGTAACAAAGGATTTAACTTTTTCAACTCTGTTGTGTCTGACTGTTAGTGCTCTCTTTGCTTTGTCCTTTTGGAGCTAGGCCAACATTATTGTAATGTAGTATCACTTGACTCGCTGCTGACAGAGAAAAGCAGGAAGCAAGAACAGAAACAAGTGAGACTCATGAGTGTCACGTAGAACTCCCTGGGTAATGTAAATTATTTTGAGCCATTATGAATCACCCAGAAAACCTGATATGAAGAGGGCAGACAAGAGTATTGGCAGCTTGTGAGAAGTGACAGGGTGCAAGAAAAAATTACAGTACACCAAAGACTAACATGTAGGAGTGCCGGTACTGTGTACTGGTGAGTAGCGGCCCACATCCAGCACTGCCTTGAACCAGCTGAAGCGGTTGAAGGAGGCTTTGGGGAGCCACACTGCCAGTCTAATGCACCTCATCTCTCTTGTTCAAGTCATTTAATTGGAGACTTTGAAGCTCCGCACTCCAGAGACTGCTTTCTTCCTCTTTCTGACACACACACACACACACACACACACACACACACACACACACACACACATGCATAAACCTAATCTCATAATCTTTTTCTCCTGCCTTCAGAACTTTTTTATTGCCTCCATAGCAGCGTTAATTTACCATCCTTCCTCAATTAGCTGCTCTCACACACACACACACACACACACACACACACACACATACACAAACGCACACCTGCCTGTTGATTTGTGTAGAAGTGTTAGACTCTCCATAAGTAGAACTGCCAAACCTGATGCATCAGACTAATTGGTGAGGCAGAGTGCTGCAGGGTGTGTGTGTGTGTGTGTGTGTGTGTGTGTGTGTGTAGTGTGTCACTTCTATAAAGGCCTGTTTGAGGGTTAAGGCTTGGTTTGAGGTTCAGGTTACAATTCAGTTTAGGGTAGGTTGGGGTTAGGGTAAGGGGCTAGGGAAAGCATTATGTCAATGGGGGTCCTTATAAAGGTAAAAGTATAAGGATATGTGTGTGTGTGTGTGTGTGTGTGTGTGTGTCTGTCTGTCTGTCTATTCTATACTGTCCTGAAAAATAGTCAGAATAGGGTAATTGCTGCACTAATCAGACACTTCTTTCATTATTACATCTCTCTGTCAATTTTTAATATATCCTTGTCAACTGAATCCCTTTTTGCCCGAAAAACCCAGTGACTACAAACACAGCAACAACTACACACAAACACACGCAGACACACACAGTACCTGGCTGCTCTGAGGATCGTGGTAGACCTGGTTACGAGGAGAGAGAAGGACGCAGTCGTGTGCTGTGGTCTTTTCAGTGCGCGGAGCACTGGGGTCGCCATCATCCACTCCATTGGCCTTGCACCTCATACTCCTAACACACAGCACCTGCAGGGCCACAACAGCAATCACTTGTAGAGACTACAGTGGCGATCTCACAGCCATTATGTTCAAGGTCCATTGACCTGTTACATCATAAAGTATTCTGAAATCAGTTGCAGTCTTATTCTAAGTTATATATATATACCAAGAACAATAACTAGAACGATAACTATAAATATATCATTTTAAAGATGAATATGAACTGAATAAAATGAATAGAAACACTGACAGCCAATCAAAATTCACCGAAATTCCTGGGCGTCACAACTGGATCTTGCACTATGTGCTCAGTGCCACTCTTTAAGAAAATTATCCCTCAATAGTGTGGACGCTTACATTGTCATTGCTATAGTTATTATTCTTTGTGTAAACTTAAAGGTCCAGTGTGTAAGATGTCAGTATATAATATTCATAACTATATTTTAATCAGTTTATGATTTTCTGAAACTAAAAATCATTGTGTTTTGGTTTCCTTAGAATGAACCCTTTATAGCTATATACATAGCAAGTTCTCTCCCACAGAGTCCACCATGTCATTCTACAGTAGCCCAGAATGGACAAACAAAACACTGGCTTTAGATACAGAACAGGCCAAAAGTTTGGACACACCTTCTCATTCAATGCGTTTTCTTTATTTTCATGACTATTTACATTGTAGATTCTCACTGAAGGCATCAAAACTATGAATGAACACATGTGGAGTTATGTACTTAACAAAAAAAGGTGAAATAACTGAAAACATGTTTTATATTCTAGTTTCTTCAAAATAGCCACCCTTTGCTCTGATTACTGCTTTGCACACTCTTGGCATTCTCTCCATGAGCTTCAAGAGGTAGTCACCTGAAATGGTTTTCCAACAGTCTTGAAGGAGTTCCCAGAGGTGTTTAGCACTTGTTGGCCCCTTTGCCTTCACTCTGCGGTCCAGCTCACCCCAAACCATCTCGATTGGGTTCAGGTCCGGTGACTGTGGAGGCCAGGTCATCTGCCGCAGCACTCCATCACTCTCCTTCTTGGTCAAATAGCCCTTACACAGCCTGGAGGTGTGTTTGGGGTCATTGTCCTGTTGAAAAATAAATGATCGTCCAACTAAACGCAAACCGGATGGGATGGCATGTCGCTGCAGGATGCTGTGGTAGCCATGCTGGTTCAGTGTGCCTTCAATTTTGAATAAATCCCCAACAGTGTCACCAGCAAAACACCCCCACACCATCACACCTCCTCCTCCATGCTTCACAGTGGGAACCAGGCATGTGGAATCCATCCGTTCACCTTTTCTGCGTCTCACAAAGACACGGCGGTTGGAACCAAAGATCTCAAATTTGGACTCATCAGACCAAAGCACAGATTTCCACTGGTCTAATGTCCATTCCTTGTGTTTCTTGGCCCAAACAAATCTCTTCTGCTTGTTGCCTCTCCTTAGCAGTGGTTTCCTAGCAGCTATTTGACCATGAAGGCCTGATTGGCGCAGTCTCCTCTTAACAGTTGTTCTAGAGATGGGTCTGCTGCTAGAACTCTGTGTGGCATTCATCTGGTCTCTGATCTGAGCTGCTGTTAACTTGCGATTTCTGAGGCTGGTGACTCGGATGAACTTATCCTCAGAAGCAGAGGTGACTCTTGGTCTTCCTTTCCTGGGTCGGTCCTCATGTGTGCCAGTTTCGTTGTAGCGCTTGATGGTTTTTGCGACTCCACTTGGGGACACATTTAAAGTTTTTGCAATTTTCCGGACTGACTGACCTTCATTTCTTAAAGTAATGATGGCCACTCGTTTTTCTTTAGTTAGCTGATTGGTTCTTGCCATAATATGAATTTTAACAGTTGTCCAATAGGGCTGTCGGCTGTGTATTAACCTGACTTCTGCACAACACAACTGATGGTCCCAACCCCATTGATAAAGCAAGAAATTCCACTAATTAACCCTGATAAGGCACACCTGTGAAGTGGAAACCATTTCAGGTGACTACCTCTTGAAGCTCATGGAGAGAATGCCAAGAGTGTGCAAAGCAGTAATCAGAGCAAAGGGTGGCTATTTTGAAGAAACTAGAATATAAAACATGTTTTCAGTTATTTCACCTTTTTTTGTTAAGTACATAACTCCACATGTGTTCATTCATAGTTTTGATGCCTTCAGTGAGAATCTACAATGTAAATAGTCATGAAAATAAAGAAAACGCATTGAATGAGAAGGTGTGTCCAAACTTTTGGCCTGTACTGTAGGACAATTAATGTTTTCCTGTCAGCAGCCATAATTCTCTTACAAGCTTCCCACACAGGAGAAGTTTCAGTTTATTGCAATGTTGCTAACGTACCACTAGATGCCACTAAATCTTACACACGAGACCCTTACAGTAAGTAATTTACCCCAAGACCAAACTTTTTTTAAACTTTAATATGTTTAGTATGAGGTTTTTGGAATGATCCAGGCTAGTTGTTACCCCCTGCTTTCAGTCTTTATGCTAAGCTAAACTAAATGGCTGCTAGCTGTCGCTTCATGTTGAACATAGAGACATGGGAGTGGTGCTGATCTTCTCATCGAACTCTAGCTTATTTCCCAAAATGTCAAACTACTTCTTTCTCTTTCACCTTTACACAGTTTTTATACTTTGGGGATTTTCATCCTACCTTCCTGAAGCTCTGTCTGAAGTTGTCCGACAGAAAGCCGTAGAGCACCGGGTTGGCACAAGAGTTAGCGTAGGACAGGATGACAGCAAAGAAGTAAATTCCGGCAGTAGCGCTGGACTCAGGGATGATGACCACCAGATTGACCATGTTGATGATGAAGAATGGCAGCCAGCAGAGCACAAACACCACCACTATCACCACCACCATCCGCGTCACCTTGCGCTCTGAACGCCGCCGCTTGGTGAAGCCCGCTCGCGCCCCTGACGACTTCATCTGCACCATTATGATGACAGTGAAGAGGATGGAAACAAGAGTGATCATGATGAAAATCAGGGGGAGGATGTTGAGGTTGATGGAAATGATCATTATGTTGATGCAGATTACAGTATGAATTTATACATGAGCTTTTTCAATCAGCCTTATACACACACACACACACACACACACAAATACACACCTTGATAACGATCAGTAGGTAGCAGAGGCAAATGATTAGCAGCGGTCCAAAGAAGCCGACTGTGGCAGTGTAGAGAATGAAGGCTGTCGACCACACATTCTTTGGCTCGGGCCAGTTCATGTTGCAGGAGTTAAATGTGTCCTACAGGAGAATTAAATGAATATTACAGAAAATAACTATGGCAAATAAAAAATCAGCCATTATCCACTCAGTCAGACAGTGAGAAAAATATGAGGTAAACATTGCACTGTGAGGCCCACAGGATGTGTTAAACTACAAAGCTTTTCAATTATGCAGGAGGGGATGTTTGGAGAAACATAATCTGCTTCTGTGGGGCTTGAAGCAACATATTTTGTATTGTGGAAGACATTTCCAGACACTGTGTGTGCTTTGTGTGCTGGGAGGACTCAACTGTGAAGCCAGTAAGTAAAACATAACTTGTCCAATTGTTATTAAACCAGTGGCCTTCAGCAGTACAGCATGGCATGTATCATAGCATCTTTGTGAGAAGTTACATTCTCTGCCTACCTTTCCTCTAAAAGCATTTGTGTGACAGAAGTGGTTGCAATGCTTTTCCTTTAGTGCACACATTACATCTTCTGCTAAAATTCTTAACAAAGACTTCAATGTAGTGAACGTCAGTCTGTGTGTTCAGCATGTCAACAACTTGCGTATTCTTTACATCACAGCCCTTCAGGTCTAACCATGAATACAAGGTACAAGGAGACAAAGCATTTCCATGGAGTGAAATACCTCTAACCCAGCAGTTACAGAGCTACTTTCATTTAGAGATGTGTTTCTGGCCTCATGCTGGCAAATTAAGGTCTAATATTGCCTTTTATCTCTGTTTTTGGTCTCCACCAACTCTTGGGGGGAAATATCGGGAACTTTTGCCACTAATTGCTCCACTATGTTCACCAGTTATACGTTTACTGTGGATGACACTAAACTGACTAACTAGTTTTTGACTGTTGTTGTAACAGTTGTTTTAGAGAGCAGCAAAAGTAAACCTAAAACAGTTAAGTTCTGATCTATAGTACCAAAACAATGAGCTGAAATAGCCTACACTAAAACAGTGGTTCTCAGCTGGTGGATCATGGTTCAGAAGTGGGTCGTGGTTCCATTCTAAATGGACTGCAAGTGAATCATAAATGTGTCACATTTGTAAAAAAAAAAAAAAAAAAAAAAAAAAAAAAGATTTTATTTTTAAATACAGTAATTTTCCAGCACATAGCTTTCATTAAGAAATTATGTTTTCTGCGGTAGAGTGAGTGACTAACCAACAGCTACTTGACAAAGACAGCAAACTGACTCAACGAAATGGACAAACACAAATGAATGTACTAAACTGTGGGACCTCGAACTAATAACTAAGCAGAAATCTGGACCCCATGGCTGGACCAGTTGAGAATCACTGTACTAAAACACTCAGTAGAGCTGAGGATAACTACAGAGTTGGGTGACATTCACTAGCAATATTGTTTAGAGCAGCTTCATCAAAATGTGTTAAAATGTCATCATCAAAATAAAAGAAATGCATATGGAGCAAGAGTGTGTGACACTTGTTTTCTATCATCAAGTCTACTGCCAGTGATCAGCACCTCCTTATGTGGTGTGGTGTGCATTACTTTTATTTTTCAGTTAAGGAATCCTTAACTCGGACTTTAAATCTCAACTAAAGGTTCTTTGTGCAACCGGCCTCTGGTTTTCAGTAGGTTTCTTTATAAATCTATCATATTCCCAAACATCAGTTTGTTTGAATACACAAACTTTTTCATCTTGCAACTATAAATGCAACTTTGCCAAAACACGAATTGGGGTACAAATAAGCATGTTCTAAATATTGGCAAGAAAGTCAGTGACTGTAATTTGCAAAGTGTCGCACTATTCCTTTAATTCTGATATTATCATTTATATTTTTAGTTATTTTCTTTAAGGATATCTTAATACAGATAGCAAGTTAAAAAGAAACAGAAATGATGAATTAAAAACTTGCTGGGGGGAAGCAATACACTGTAGGCAACTTAATAAACTGAAACCATAGAACTACAAAGCTATGGCTATTTAAGCAAGAGCCTTATTAATGTCAGGGATGGACTCACTGTGTAGAGAATTAATGACTGTACATCTGGGGCAGCGGTAATTGAAGCTAATTTGCAATTAATGTGGTGCTCAGGACTGCAGTTTCTACCTGAACATCAGAGAAGATGACCACAGGCAGGACCACCACAAAGGACACGGCCCACACGGCTGCGCTCACCACCTTGGCCACGCGGGGGTGTCTCCACTTGGTGCTGCGGATTGGATGAACCACAGCCAGGTAACGATCGATGGACATGACCGTCAGGCAGAAAATAGACGTGAACTGGTTCATAGAGTCTGCTGTCATGACCACGCGGCACAGGAAGGAGCCAAACGGCCAATAGGAGAGCACGTTCTGTGTGGTGAGGAAGGGGAGCCCGATGATGTAGAGCTCATCGGCCACAGCCAGGTTCAGGATGTAGATGTTGGTGACTGTCTTCATTTTGGCATAGCGCAGCACCACATAGATGGCCAGAGTGTTGCCAGTCAGACCCACCATGAAGACTGTGAGGGAGATGACTGCGGTCATCAGAGTGCTGCTACCCTGGAAGGGCACACTTTGAGTGGACAGGTTGGAGGAGATGTTGAAGAGGTGGGGGTAGGAGAAGAGGAAGGGCGAGGGAGTGGCTCCAAAGGAGGAGTTGAGGTCTGATGCGAGGGGAAACCAGTAGGTCTGGTCTAGGGGCTCCATTGTGGGTGCCAGTTGTAGTTTTGTTTCCTCCTGTTCTAACTGAATTAGAAGAAAGCCTCTGCCATGTTAGTTACCATGCTTACTTTGGGGCAGAAACGGAACGGATAATCAGCAGCCACCACACTTTAAGGCATTAGATGAAAACAAAGAGAAAGTGTCTAATCTAGTTTGTCAAGTGTGAGTTTTTGCGCCCAAAAGAGAGAGAGTGACTCATAGCGTGAAAGTGTGCGCTCTGACCACAGCTGAGAACCGGTGCTCTTTTTATGGAAGTCCCTAGTGTGTGTCTTCTTCTTGCGCACCTTGCGCCACGAGCCAGCTTCAAAGAACAAGACGTGTTGCCATGTATCCTATTGTCTAACAAGTTTTCATTTCACAAGGAGTCGTAATCGTAATTACGCATCGCTGCTGTTAATGAACCAACCAAAGGTGTATAATTGTAGTCACCTCTACGGGGTCTTTGCGTTTTAATGGCACTGATTAGTAAACCCTCACCCTACCTCACACTGCAAACACACAGTTCATCCGCTGTGTCGCGCGTCAAGCGGCAGAACGCTGGGAACAGTGCCACAGCTTTTACGCACGGCAGATCTGCTTGGTTACAAGCTCTAAAATAATTCCCGCGTTACGATAATAGGTTATGCCCGCACAGGTGCTACCCCAACTCTTTGCTGAATGATTTGTTGTACTCCTAATACAAAGCTACATTTTTAAACTCACGCATACACTACATCAGTGTTTTACTCAGAGATCAAGACAAGAACATGCTTACTTTGGCGAGCAGCGAAAAAGTCTTTGTGTGATCAAATGAAAATTAGTAGCTCCCTCCAAACCAAACTCCTCATTGCCAGTTCAGTTCAATATCGATGGATAGCTTGTGTCCGAGCTCCCGATGGTTCGCTGTCCGTGGTGCTGAGCAGAATGTGTCAGCAGCAGCTCCCCGCTTCTCCTTCGTCCTTCAACTTTCTTCCCACACAGCTCTGCTGTTTCTTTGATACGATTTGTTAAGTGTGTGTGTGTGTGTGTGTGTAAGAGAGAGAGAGAGAGAGAGAGAGAGCTGCTTCAGAAAACGCAGCCGGTGCAAAGCAGCGGGGCTCTTCAGTCTGATCATACAGACACAGAGGAGTTAAATTTCAAGCTGTCACAATGTCATTCTGACACCTGGAAAGAAGAATGGCTAAAGTACATTTTCTCAAGTACTGTACATTATAGATGAAGATCAAGATTCACCAGCGGGCTCCCAGAATCTTCTATATTCAAAGACGGTCAGTGTGGAGGACCAACATCCCATCTGAATACTGAGAAATTGCTTTCTTCATTCAGAAGCATCTTAAAAAATGGCATTGCAAACAAAAGCTTCTCCACCAATTATTAAATACATTTCAGCTGGTGTGGTCAATACTTTTTTTCCCCTCTGTTATTCAGATTCATTGTACATAACTTTTTATGGTTATAAATGTCAGGATTTCTTTCTGTAGGTTTACGGTATAGACTAGTTTTCAGACCACCCCTTTCTTTAATCACCATAATGTCCAAAAAGTTCAACTGATGGGTATCAGACTGAATTGTGAACTGGAGATGTTTGTTTTTGGAATTAATGAGGTGATCACCTCATTAATTCCATACCGTAAACCTACAGATATAAACTCTCTCCTTCATGGGGAGTCTTACCATCCCACTCATTTAAAAAAGAACAACCCCATCTCTCAATTCAATCGTATCAAACGTATCTGCAGCTCGGATGAGGACTACATTAAACAAACTATTGATCTAAAAAAACGTTTCAGACAAAGAGATACAAAGAGGCCTGGATCGATAATGCTGCCTCGCGCTTTTCCAGTGTTTCCCAGAGTGACAGTGTTTCCATCACCACACCTAAGGAGTCGGAACAGAGAACTGTTTGTGCTATACAATATTCACCGCTTTCTAAGGACATTGAAAAAACTATTAAAAAACACTGGCGTATAATTGAATCAGATCCATCTTTGAAAAACTGTTTCTCTAAACCACCTAGAGTGGTTCTAAAAAGACCCCCAAATCTGTGCAACATACTCAATGGAGGCGATGTCAGACTGAAGGTTCTGGGAGCTTCTGTCTGACGCTCAGGCTAGATAATTAGTACTAAAAAAGAGGCGCCTCTAATAGTTTTTTTATGTAATATGATGGCCTTTACAGCCTGAGTCCTTCTGGGGAATATAAAAATCTGTTATGATGTATGTATATATGTATGTATCTATATGTGTATTTTTGCTATAACTATTTTTGAAATGTTTTATTGATTTGTATATGCTGATGAAAATGCACTACTGGTGTGCCAGGTCACATGACCAGGGTTTGGGACCTTTAAAGATGGCGTCTCCCTGCATATTCATTCTTTTAAGCATCTGAGGAAGAGTCGACATGGCTCGAAATGTCATGCTTTAAATAAATTACACTTGACTGGAGCTATTTTGGTTGGCGGACTTTATTTGTTTTTACATGATCCTGAATCCAGGACAAAAAATGTTGCCTCAGCTCAATGTTGTTCAAGTCAGATATTTCTCTGATATACAAGCATAAATCCACATTTCAATCATACTCAACTGTGATTGGCCAGTGCTATTTGCCAAAGCAAGATGTGTGCCAGCAGTCTGTATTTGAATGAAGACACCCATCTAAAGTATAAACAGAGATAACACTTAACCAAGGACATACCAAAAGGTATGTGTTAGTAATTTTCTAAATTATTTGGGGTTAAAGGATTTAACTGTTGTTAAAAGCATGGAAGAAAAACTTTGTTTCCGTGTGTTGTTAAATATAACAGTTTTGGCTTTGTTGCCTTTAAAAGACAGCACAATATACTGTAGAGAGATACAGGAAATGACACACAAAAAGGTTGTTGGCTGAAGTCAGACTGGGAACATTTACCTGATATGTGTTTAATGTGTTTGATGCTTTAATGACACTACACCCGTACCTGTGAAAGGTAAGAGTGTGGTATCCTTGCTGTGTTTCCTACAGTGAAGGACTGGCAAAATGGTCAAATACCATCAGGGTTGGTCAACAGGGGGCTGCTGAGACCTCTCAGGATGAACCAATGTATTGATTTAAGATATAAAAGGAATAAAAAAAGAATGAATAAAGAGTTCAAGCTGCAAATGTTACTTATTTCAAGGCAATTTTCAGAAAATATGGTTCAGGACTGCTGATAACGTCGAGGTTTGGATCTTGATCCATCACCTAGTTGCCCTTTAAACTGATGACATTTTGACAGACTTCCCACTTCATGTGAGAGCAAAAAGCAATCCAGTGGTAAGTGCTTGGATTTAACTTAGAGCATGCAATCTATCCCATCACTGACACAACTGTTATGGTGCCTTCAAACCAAGGTCAAGTGGAAATCTGTTCTGCTCCGCAACCTCACAGTGACAAAGAGGCTCCAGGGAGTCACAGTGCCTGGCCAAGACATTGCATCTAAGTAAGTGTGTAGTGATGTACAGGTATACAGCACATACCAGCCAAGGACGCTTTCAGATCAGGGACTGGTTTGGTTTGGTTTATTTGGTTTATAAAAAGGACAGCATGCACAACAAACAAAAAGATGTTTGCACCAGATTTAGCTAAAGGCTAATTTTCATCTGTAGTCATCTAACATAAAACATGAAACACAACAAAATACACAATCCACAATTAACACAAAGGAGCACACAGCATCAGATACAGACACATCATATACATAACAACTGGGGCTCGAATCCAAGAACATTCGACCCAAAGTCAAGTTTGTTTGATTAATGTGAGTACTGTGTACTGTACCTGGCCACTGTCTGTCGATCTATGCCTTAGTCTCCTTGAAAAGTTGATCTCTAGTATGGTTCATGTGTAATCGCATACAGTTCACATCAGTTGTGAAAACTATGTTAAGCCTAAGCTTTCAGAAACAGAAACTGGATCCACAATGCAGATTCAAACAAACAGTCTTCATTGACCAAGTCCAAGGGTGAGGAGAGGGGAAAAACTCAGGGCTGGGGAAACTTCCAGGGAGGAAAAGTTGGCTGGCAGAGCATGGCAAAAAAACGGAACTGAGGATATGGCAGGGCACTGAGGACAAAGAAACAGGGACAGAGGTTAGCAAAAATCAGGTTGGTTCAAAGACTGAAAGTACAAGTTCCAAAAAACACAGCAAAAAAGGGCTGACCTGTATTTGTGCTGCAGCAGAGGTGAGTGGCAATCAGCGGTGATACAGTTCAGGTGGTGGAGGAGGAGCTGCAACAGAGAAGTAGGTCAGCCACGCCCAGCCAGTAACAGACAGGGAAGACAAAATGAACCAAAACAAGCAGGGAGGGGAACAGAGAACACACACACCCCGCATCCCAACAAACTAAGCCGGGTGCTATTTAAGGGACTTGACACACCAAGCCAATGGTGAGCCACTGGTCAATGTTGTGCCATTGGTTTCCCACTACATTGGCACTAGTCAGTCTTTGTTGGCTTTTTTCGGCCAGCATGTTGAAGTAAGTGTCTAAGATGGAGGAGCATGTCGGTGGATGACATCCCTCTGATTGGCAGTTCAGCTCAGTACAGAAGAAGAGACTCAGAAGGAAGGAAAGCAAGAGCATGATTAGCTCTTACAACATCGGGCTGTTTTGTTAATGTGCTAACTGGCTAACTAGTGTCTTGAATCAGCAGAATTTGTGTGCTAGATGGCTGTAGTCTTCGTGGTGTATTAATGTTCATGTGCAACTTGTTGGAGTTTACATGTTCACCCTGTGTCAGCGTGGGTTTCTCTTGGTACTCCAGCTTCCTCCAACAATCTAAAGACATGCAGGTTAATTGGTGACTCTAAAATGACCGTAGGTGTGAATGTGAGTGTGAATGGTTGTTTGTCTCTATGTGTCAGCCCTGTGATAGTCTGGTGACCTGTCCAGGGTGTACCCAGCCTCTGGCCCAGTGTCAGCTGGGATAGGCTCCAGCACCCCTGTGACCCCCAACAGGATAAGCAGTTACAGAAAAAAGATGAATACTTAGGTATGGAACAACGTGAAAGCTGGACGGTGGGGGACTGAAGAGGGGGCAATTGTTCTCAGGCATGGTATGAATTAATGGTACCCAATATGGAAATGCCCTAAGAGAGCTCTGAGATTTTGATACACCCATTAAAATATGCAAGAATATGTAATTATGTAGTTTTGTGACAAAATCTTCACTTCAGCAATTTCATATCATAAAACTGCAACTGCCTGCCTAATCATTACTGCTATTTAAGTTGAAAAAAATCTTTAAAAACACGGCAAAGAGAGCTGGAGATTCAGATTCCTTGACAAGTGTCTCCTCATTGAAACAAATCACAATGTCAAGAACAGTACAGAGAGCCGGTCAGGGCTGCATTTGATCCTTGGTTTTTGGTCTCTGTAGCAGTAAAGCCACTGCCTTTTCTCTCTTTCTCTCTGTCATGAAAACCAAAACCAAGATAAAATTGGTGATATAACTGACCTCTCTTGTACCTCACTAAACACGGTGTGGATCAGACTGAACACATTTTTCCATTGTATATTCAAGTTTTACCTTGGTGAACATTTTGGACCCAGGTGCACATAATGTTTCTCAAATCCTTTTGTCATCAAATTAACACCAGGTCAGGTGACTGTGCAGCTGTGGCGGAGGTACGAGCTCCCTGAGTGCTTTCTGGGTGAGTCTATTTGTTTGAGTCTATATATTTATCATAGCTGGGCTTGAGCGACTTGCACTGATTATTTTTATTGGGTCCAAAGTGGGCTTGTAGCCTCAGACTGAGGTCAAGTGAAAATCTGTTTTGCCACGTTTTAAAACTATAAGTCTGCCCAGAATAGAGAACAGGTAATGTAACAGGTGAATGATGAATGATGACTCACGGATACTAAATAAGATTCTTGATGTAACCACACAGTCAGTCCTGGAAACACAGAAACAGGTGGATGTTTTCAATCCCCAATTTACATCATTTG